GGGCTCCCGTGTGCCTGTGCCGGGGCCAGCGTTGGCCGAGGGTGCCGGGAGCTGGGAGCACCCACTGCTTCCCTGCCCTGTACCCCACAAGGAAACATGGGGTTTCTTTGGGGGAAAAAAGCCCAAGGATGTGGAGAAAAAGCCCTCCCCGCGCTCTCTGCCCCGGCGTGGTGCGGTGCCAGCGATGTGGCCACAGTGCCAGCTCTCCGGCTGCGGTGCCAGCTCTCTGGCCGGGTGCGGGGGCTCGGCGGTGGGCGGCGTGCCTGGGATGCCGAGCTCAGTCCCCGCGCCCTTCATCTGAGCTCAGGACAGAGCCCGGCCAGGCCTGATCCTGCACCCATCCTGCTCCACCAACCCGGCTATTTTGCCCTTGGGGAGCTTTTTGCCCCAACTACCTTTATCGCAGGCAAAAAAAATCCTCAAAACAGGCATTTCTTAACCCTCCCTCCCCAGCACAGGGAACCCCCCTCAACTCCTGGGGTGTGCCGGGGCCAGGGAAGCAAGCGAGAGGCGATTGCAGGATGCGACCCAGTGGCAGCGGTGCCGGCACGCACCGAGGGCACGTGCGGATTTGTACATTATTTATTACAAAATATAAGGTTGTGTGTACACCCACCTGGCTGCTGGGCTTCTCCGGGGGTGCCCAGACCCGTGTTCCCCCCCCCCCAACTCCTGCCCCATCGCCTCCCGCCCTGCACGGTAGCACCGTCCCGGCGGCTCCTGTTTGCCTTGGGCCCGGTTCAGCCGGCTGGCGGCGGTGCAGGGGGAACCGCGCCAGCTCCCCGTGGCCGGGGGACGTGGCAGCTGAGGGGGGGAGACACACACATCCATCCAGCCCCTCAGCCCCCTTGGCACAGGGATGCACCCAGCACAGGAGCTGGAGACCCACTGGGTGACCCCAGCCAGGGTGAAGGGCAGCGAGTCCGTTTTGGACGTCTGTCTGTCCCCCCTGGGTTGCGGTACTGGGTGGGTTTCGCAGGCATCCCCCACACACACACCCCGTGCCCCATCCCACCCGTGGCTCCCGGCGGATGCTGTAATGGAACAGGCTGCATTTACGGGGCCAAACCCCCCCCCCCACTCCCAGGACAACGTTTCCCTTTTACAACATGGTTTGGCCATGACGCGGCATTTTTTCACCCTTATACTGGCTGCGGCCGCTTGCGAGATCAAATGGGACACGGGGCACCCAGGGGGGCGTGGGGGGGGGACGGACACGTTTGCCAAACCAGCTGCCAAACCCCAACCCCTCTCCTCATCCCGCCTGGACGAGAACCCACCGACGCCGGCACGTTGGGTGGGCGACGCCGCGGCGCAGCACGGGAGGAGGCGCTGGAAATGATGGGACCCCATCGCGGGGCTCCCACCCCCAGAAAACTTGGGTGCTGCCCATCCCGGGGTGCTGGGAGCTGCGGTACCGGGATCCGCGTCCGTCTTCACCGGGGAAGGCCGGCGGATGCTCCCCCGCGGGCACCGCTGGCGGCAGTGCCGGGGGGCCGGGGGGGGAATGCCAGCGGGCAGGATTGTTTTCCACCATCTGGTTGGCTTGGTCGGAGGCAGCTGTGCAGGCAGGGCAGATGGAAGCGGCTCCTGCAGCTCTGCTGCTATTTATGGAGTCGGGAAGAAAAATGGGGCGAAAAAAGAGAAAAAGCAGCCATGCGAAAGGGCCAGTCGGACGCCCCCGTTTGCAGCCCCTTACGCTCACAGCTGCGCCCTGCTCCTTCTTGCTGGATCCCATCCCAGCGCCGGCCGGGACCTCCCGCATTGTGCCACGGGGTTGTCCCGGGCACTGGGGGCTGGAGGGGGCTGGAAGCAGGGGAGAGCTAAAGGGGTGGCCGGGAGCTCCCCCCACTCCCACAGACACAGAGAAGGAGCCAGGGGCACACATGGAGGGATGTGCCGGGGTTGCAGGAGGTCCGTGCTGGGTGTCCGGCCCAGCCCTGCATTCCCGAGGGCTGGAAACCTGCCCGGGGTCAGGGGTTGGGCTGGGGGCTGCAGCCAAAATCCTCCTGCTGCTCTCCCCCAGGTGTGGGACTCTCAGCTCAGGAGCTGAAGCCGCGGTCCCCATCCCAAGGGTCCTGCACCCTCCAGCCCCGGGGACAAGGAGCCCTTTGGTCCCAGTCCCGGCCCCAAATGCCCCCTGCGCTGGCCAGGGCTGGCTGGACCCTCAGCTCATCCGTGTGCTGCGGAGCATCTTTGGGTACCAAAATAACCCCCCGGCCCATCCCGGCTTCCAGGCGATGCTGAGCCTTGCAGTCCAGCCCAGGGCTGATTACACGGCTGAGCGTCCAAGGCTGCCAGCTGGGATGCTTTTGTCTGTAATTCTCGTAATCGTTAGCAGAAACCACCGGCACGCGGCTCCGCGTGACCCGTGGCGGCTCCGGAGGGGGGTACCCGGTGGGGGGAGCCCCGCGGGGACCCCACACCGGACCGACAGGCTGCAGGATGGAGAACCCAGAGGCGTTTTCTGCAATACAACAGCTTTGGGGTCAAAACCCACTCTTTTTTTGCCTTCTCAGCCCCTTGTCACGGGCGATGCCCCCAGCTCAGCTCCGTGATGGGCAGGTGGGAGGCTGGGGCCGGAGCGAGAATCCCCTTGGGTCCCCCATGGCTTTGGGCAAGCGATGGGGTGTGGTGGGTCCCGGCCATGGGTTTTTGGGGTGGGTGAGGTGTGGGTGCAACATTACCCCGCTCCCCGCTTGCACCCAGCGCTGGCGGGGCCATCCGGCTCCGACAATGCCTGGGAAGCAGAGACAGGGATGGAAGAGGGAAACCTCCCGGGAGAGCTCCTGGATGGCAGGACCATGGGACGTGGGTGAGGGGGCACAGCGAGACCCCGTGGTATCCCCATGGTGATGAGAAAGGCAGGTGGGGGCAGCCGGCGGGGCCAGGCTCAGCTGCTTCTTGTTACCCCCGGACCCCGGCCAAAAGGGAATAGCAAAGCAGGGAAGGGAAAAAGGAGCCCAGGAGCCGGCAGCTCCTGTCCCGCCCCGCCAGCAATTAAGGATGGCCGGAGCCCAACGTAAATGAGCGGGACGGTGCGCCGCCGCATCGGCACGTCCTTCGGTGCTGCCGGGGCCCCCACGGCAGGGATGGGGCTGCCGTTTGCTCGGCTCCCCACCCGACAGCATCCCCGCATTGGGGTGCATCCCCCCAAACCCCCACCAGCCCCGCAGGGAGGAGGGAGCCGGGGTTCGGGCAGTGGGAAGGGGGTGCCTCCATGCTGCACCCCACAAGCACGTCCTGGCACTGGCCGGGAACAAAAGCTGCTCTGAACAGCAGCCGGGAGCTGGAAAGTGCCTTGGGAAGCTGCTTGCTTTCTTTTCCTTTCTTTTCTTTTTTTTTTTTTTAAATAATGGAAAATATAATGACAGTGCCTAAATTAAAATAATAAAAGAAAGCAACCAAAAAGCCAACCGAAAATAGGAGAGAAACCAACGTTTCAGGCTGAAAGGGAACAGGCGCAGGCAAGGGATGAAAGGGAAAAGCTGAGGCGCTGCACCCTCCCGGGAGCCTCCTCTCAGCCCCCCCTGAGGGGCTGGGGGGGGGCCATGCTGCCCCACCACCTCCCTTGAGGCAAGCCATGGCGTGAGCAGGGTGCAGAGCATTGCTGCCATGGCAGGAGCTTCTCCCGTGTGCTGGCCCTGGCCGCCGGCCGCCCAAAATGTGCCCCTGCACACCCCATCCTTGCTGGCTTTGCACCGTGGTCAGCACTGCTGCTTCAGGGGCCGCATCCTGCCCAGGGCTCCAGCCCCAGGGGATGCAGAGGTGTCTGCTCCATCCCCTGCCCTGAACCGGAGCATCCCTGGGGATCCCAAACTGGAGCATCCCTGGGGATCCCAAACTGGAGCATCCCTGGGCATTCAGAGCATCCCTGGGCACCCGGAGCATCCCCAGGCATCCAGCCATGGGGGGGACACGGGAGGTGCCAGCTCCCTGTCTCTGCCACGATGGCAGGGCCAGGCCGGATCCAGCTGCCGAATTCCAGGCCGTCTGGCCAAGAGACGCTGCTCTGTTCCCGCCGGTCCCTCCGGACAACCTGCTGGAGGAGGAAAACAAATGGCCCTTGAACACGGAGGAGCAGGAGGCGAGAGACCCCAACCCCTTCCAAAACGGGGGCACCAGGGCGGGTATCGCTGTATGGCTCCCAGGAAAGGGGCCACTGGAAGTCAGGATTTGGGGGAAAACAGTGGAAAGAGGGAGAGGGGCTGCTTGGAGCACTAACACTTGCTTTGCAAAGCAAGCCTGAGCCAGGACGCCGTGGGGACAGCTGAGCTCCACCGCGCCAGGGCGGCTTCGGGGCAGCCCTTGACAATGCACATTCCTCTCCCAGTTGCTTTTTAGATATATTTTTTAAGAGTTGCATCTCAATATCTTGCTGTTCAAAGTGAGCTGGTTCTGGAAAAAACATCCATTCCCTTTTTTCAAGCTATTTTTGAAACCTTTGGCCTTCATTCCTCTTCAGGCTCCAGACCATAAATAATAATAACAACATACTTAAAGCCTTTACGCTGACAGCTCACCGAATCTGCCAGAGCCTTTTAATTCTCCAGATGTTGAAAATCTGACTCAAAAACTTGAAGTTTGGTAAATATTTTGTGTGTTTTTCATTTTACAGCCATTG